CTGTGAAGGGGTTGAGAAGGTCTGTGAGGGTCTGTGAGGGTCTGTGAGGGTCTGTGCATCAGGAGAGAGTGCAGGTGGTGTCTGTAATAAGTGTTTTTACTCATTATTATCGTAGTGTGTGTCTAGTGTCATCTTTCTTCTTCTTTCTCTTTCTTCTTTTAATTTCTTTCCTGTTTATTTTTCCTTTTCTTTTTTCTATCTTCTTTCTACTTGCTTTTTCTTTACTTTTTTTTACCTTTTTCTTTTTTCTATCTTCTTGCTTCTTCTTTCTTCTTAATTCTTATTCTTATTCTGTCTTATTTCTTCTTTTTCTCTTCTTTATTTTTCTTTCTTCTATTTTTCTTGCGCTTTCTTTTTTATTTTTCATTGTATTCCTTCTTCCTTCTTGTTCTTTTTCTTCTTTCATCTGCCTTCTTTCTTCTTTTCTTTTGTTACTTTTTTCTTTCTTGTTGCTTCTTTGTCCTTCTTCATTCCTATTTCTTATTTCGTTTCTTTCTAAATTTCTTTTTCTTTCTTTTAGTTTTATATCTTCTTTTTGCTTTTTCATTTTATCTTCCTTCTTTCTTCTTCTTTCTTCTTCTTCTTCCTTAGTCTACCTGACCATCGCCACATCATCACCATCACCATCACCATCATCATCACTATCACCATCATCATCACTATCACCATTACCATCAGTCACATTTTCAACGAATAGACAAAGTTTATGGACGTGTTGTCAAGTTCACTATCAACATGTAAGAGGAAAACACAAGTTGCTCCTCCGCCATTTTTAAAGGGACGAATCAACTCTTTTCACAACATATCTGACAGTAACATAAGGAAACTATTACATAAAACAAAACTTAAAATGAATGTTCCTAACAGAGAAAACTTGATCATTCTTCCCGACTGGAAAAAATAATGATCCAGAGCGTTCAGGCGGCTTTGATACTCTAGTAGTTCTTCTCAAAGCTGGCGTTGTTTGAACCCAAGGTAGGCTCTGTTCCACTGATTCAGCTTGAGTAGTTACTGGGTCAATTATCTCTGATTAGACATCATTATCATGTACGGTACACAGTGTCTTCGCCAATCACAGTTTCTTTCTCATCAATATGCGACACAGGCCCGGTGGGCCATGGCGCCAAGACACGAAGAAATACAGTTGATTCATGGCCATCAGGAGACCGTACATGGGCGTAAGTAGGGTCATAGTTCAGCTTAGTCAACGAGAGGATCACTTTTGCTAGACCTGACGAATCTTCGAAGCAGTACTGGGCCAAAGGTTGTTAGCCATGAAGGTAGAGAATTGCCATGAGACAAGCGTCGCTGGAATCCAAACAAACGTTTATGAGGTGCATTATTTGTAGATGTTGACAGAAGTGATCTGATGGAGTGCATTGTTCCGGTAGTAAGCCTCCCAGTTATGGTCCGGTAGGTCGTGTGACTTCAGGGCAAGACGAACAGCCTTCCAAATAATAGCATTGTACCTTTCAACCTGCCCGTTTCCCATGGGATGGTAGGGTGTTTTGCTTGTTGCCATCCCCTTGTGGGAAAGATTATCTTTGAGTTCACGCGACACAAAAGATGGACCTCGATCTGAGTGAATGAAACTTGCCATATCGCAGAGGGTAAATACCTGGTCAAGACATTTGATTACAGTTGAAGAGTGAATATTTGGACAGGAGTTGATTAAATTGATGTGGGATGAAGTAAAACTTGTTTGCCCATTAAACAAGTTTTAATCAACTCTTTTCACAAATTATCTGAAAGTATCATAAGGAAACTATTACAATACAAAGATAACATAAAACAAAACAAAATGAATGTTCTTAACAAAGAAAACTATATCAAACAACAATAATTATAATAACAAAAACAATAAAAACAATAACAATAACAACCGCTCCTTAACAAATCCTTTACCCTAAAATTGTTTAGTTCAAAACACGTCTTATTTTTCTTAATTCATTCGCAAGATTTTCTTAGTAAAAATAGACTTAAATACTTCAGTAAAACAATGTACTCATCTTCCTGGCCGCGTGTTATGAAAGTTTCCCTATACGCTGATTGATACCATCTAAAAATTCCATATATTCTTTAATATTTTTATCTTAACTTTCACTTATTTCTCCAATTCGTTTTATTTGGGTTTTATTTCTCGTCATTTCTTGCCTCTACAACATTATTATCTTTATTTAATTCTTCATTGTGTTAATTCTAGTATTATTTCATTTCTTAATTATCTTTATTTATCTTTATTCTCATTCTGTCTTATGTCTTTGTTTAACTTCATTTCTCTTCGTTTACATTTTCCTGTTATTAAATTTTCCCTTCATTATCGTCTAGCTCTTTACATTTCTCTCTATAGTTTGTTTGATGTATAAACTACTTCATAAAATTCCTCAACTTTCTTCACTAAAACAAAGTCAATTTTCACTCTTATTAGTTTTCCCTTTTCTGCCATTACCTGTTTTTCATTTATTCCATTATTGTTATGCTTCTTACTCCTTTGGTCATTCTTTTTAATATTATTCTAAACCTGTTAACTGATTATTTGTGTTGCCTTCTTCAATTCTTTTTTGTTTCTGTAATTCGTAGTTGATTTTATCCAAACATAAGAACAAATATAATAATAAAAATAATAATAATAATAATAATAAATAATAACAATAATATTAATAATAACAATAATAATAATAACAATAATATTAATAATAACAATAATAATAATAATAACAATAATAACAATAATCTACCTGTTCATTACTTAACCCAGAGATCTATATGCAGAGTTTAATGACTGACCAGCGTCACAAGTTACCTTCATTAACACACACCTGGAACACCTGTCATAACTAATTAAGATTTTTTACCATAGAGTTCTCTGATTTTATCTGATTCTTAACTTGAAGCTCCGACTTGATTGAAGCAACGAGAAGTCTATCTATCTATCTATCTGTCTCGCTTTCTGTCTGTCTGTCTGTCTCCGTCCGTCCGTCCGTCCGCCCGTCCGCCTGTGGTTCATTAGTACTGGGAACTATTTGTACTAGGGCCTGCAAGTACTGGGCCCATTAGTTCTTGGGCCTGCACGTACTGGGGCCCAAAATTACTGGGACCCATAAATACTGGGGCCTACAAGTACTGGGACCCATAAATACTGGGGCCTACAAGTACTGGGACCCATAAATACTGGGGCCTACAAGTACTGGGACCCATAAATACTGGGGCCTACAACTGGGCTCTATCAGGATTGGGACTAGTTCACCCTCTGGTCTACGTCACCCCAGTTTCCCATTTTCTTCGTTTTTTCTTGTATGAAATATCTCACAGCTGTCAAACATAAGCAACTCCTTGTTTTCAGTTTTGACAAAATAATGGCGTGTTGTTTTAGTGTCTCTTTGGTCTGATATGTCAATCAAATTTCCTGTTTTCTGTATGGTAATTGACTTAAGACATCAAACAAATTTTAATAGTTTTCTGTAATGAGATATGGAGCAAATTTACCATACTCTATACTCTGAGACACGGAGCAAATTTACCATACTCTATACTCTGAGACACGGAGCAAATTTACCATACTCTATACTCTGAGACACGGAGCAAATTTACCATACTCTATACTCTGAAACACGAAGCAAATTTACCATACTCTATACTCTGAGACACGGAGCAAATTTACCATACTCTATACTCTGAGACACGGAGCAAATTTGATAGTTTCTCAAATATTTTTAGATTGGAATGTTTCCCATCAGCAGCGAGCCAACGTCAAGACCCGCGTATGGAATGCAAACCATCCAAACAATCTTTTTTTTTCCTTTTTTTTCCATTATGTTCATCAGGTTGAACTGTCCTTCGTCTCTCCTCAAAACACAATAGGAATCTTGTAAATCTCAGCTCTTATTACCTTATGTCTGGTCTGGTTCTTGTCCTCACGTGATATAAAACGAATATAAACTTCATAGTATAGTTTTTAGTGTAGGAATCTATAATTGAATTTATTATTAATTTTTAAAAGTTGTTGTCTTGTGTACAGAGTTAGTGAACCCTGGGCAGTTGGAGTATCAAAACACATGAAGTTGGTCTCATCCGGAGAAATAAATGCTTCTACATGTAGGTCTAACTAAGTGATTTACGTACACAAGAGCAGTTCCAGGAAACCTCTTATTAGATAATCACCTAAATGTTTACCTCGGAGGGAAATTGTTGTGGCTCTTTGTTGGACCTCGACAGCTAACGTTTTTACCCTATGACGTCACAACTATACCCAATGACGTCACGACTATACCCTATGACGTCACAACTATACCCTATGACGTCACAGCTATACCCTATGACGTCACAACTGTACCCTATTACGTCACAACTATACCCAATGACGTCACAACTATACCCTACGACGTCACAACTATACCCTTTGACGTCACGACTATACCCTACGACGTCACATCTGTACCCTTTGACGTCACGACTATACCCTACGACGTCACAACTATACCCTACGACGTCACAACTATACTCTATCTTAGTGAATGATCCTCAAGGGCATATAGCTGGGTCACTCTTCACAGGAACATATTATACTATATATATATATTCCTGGTAAATTATCTACCTAATAGGAAACATACCAGTTATATGTCCTCCTCATCCCCCTCCCCTCGCCCCCTCCTCCTCACCTCCCCTCTCTCACCCCCTCCCCTCACCCCCCCTCTCTCACCCCCTCACCTCCTCCCTTCAACCCCTCATCCCTCATCCTCCCCCTCAATACCTCCTCCATTCGCCCTCTCCCCCATCACCCCTCCCCCATCACCCCTCCCCATCACCCCCTCCCCATCACCCCTCCCCCATCACCCCCATCACCCCTCCCCTACACCTTAAAACAATAACATCGACAGACATGTTAGAAAGACAATCATATTTAACAGTAAGTGAATTATATAACAGACAGACAGACAGAATGTCAGACAGACAGGCAAATGGACAGAAGGACAGACAGATAGACAGATAAACAGACA